TCTAATATATTTTTAGGGACCTACATCAAAAAATAATGTTGTGGATTTCTTCCATTACGAAAAGTGAGAATGAGATCCTAGACTAATTTTTCTTATAAAATGTTATCTAAATATAGAAAAAAAATATATAAAAAATATTACTTTTAATAATATATACGTGTATGATATGATTTACCGTCGTATGTTGTTAGTTGTGAATCCAATACTGATTTACCCTCGTATGTGGTGGTAGTGGGTTGAGATTTTAAATAATAATGAAAAATAGAAAATAGAAAATAGAAAAAACTTTTACAAGTTAAACACGTTTTTTATCCGGATAAAATTATTTTTTTAATGTTGAGATTGAAGTTTTAAAAAAAAAAACCTAATATCAGCATCACACTCTCATGGCCCTCCCTCATTCTTCTTTAGATTCAGATCAGAAACCAGAGAGGAAAAAAAAAACCTAGTTTTATGGGGAAGATGCAAACCCTAAATAAGACAAAGAGGCTAAGAAGAAGAAGAAGAAGAAGAAGAAGAAGAAGAAACGAAAGAGGGAAGAGAAAAGAAAACAGAGCAAAATCAGAAGCAGTAAACAATTTACCGCAAGAAATCATTGTGGATATTCTCTCAAGATTACCTCGCAAATCGCTGGTTCGATCCATGTGCGTTTGCAAGTAATGGCGTTCTTTGATGGAAGGTTATACAAAAAGCATTGGACGACAAAAAGTTCTGGCTCTAACTCAGTCGAAAAACGGGTCATTTTGTTTTCAATTCATCGACCAACAATTCCTTTCCGATGTATCCAAAAAAAAAAAAATCGACCAACAAGGCTATATGTTGAAAGCGTTCGTAGTAGACCATTGGAAAATAGCGAATCTAATAGTGGTATTCGAATCGGTGGTTCGTGTAATGGGTTGTTTCTTCTATTATTTATTTATTTAATTTGGGTTGTTGAGATTAATTTTGTCTTTGAGCATGAATTTGATCTGAAATTTTTTTGAGGTTCCTTTTTTACAATGGGAATAGATTAAGGTTGGTACTCCTGAGGTCTCATTATGCACTGCTGTGGTATTAAAATTTTCAAAAATTTTATGTGGTCTGCAACAGTGATAATGGCTAACTAAAATTTTTTTGGATGTTAAGAATATAAATTCATATCTCCATGTGAAATCAGATTGCACAAACGATCTTGTTTTTGAAACTTTTCATCAATCCAATGGTAATAATATCCATTCTATTTGGTTTCTATTTCTAAAATTTACTTTTCAAAAAATTTTATTTTTTCATTTTTTTTATATATTATTCTTACTAAATTTTTTAATATTTTCAGTAATTTTTTTAAGGATAAAGCACCAATAAATCTTATTTTGTGAACTTGTACACTAGTTAGTCTTGCAAATTTTTTGTTGAACCGAAAAGTCCTAAAAACACACGGATTGACACAGCTGGCCTCATTTACGCGCATTGTTGATGTGTGTAGTGGAAATTGATGAGGGTGAAATTACTGATGTGGACATAAAAGCGCACTATGGCCATTTTTTGGTTTCCCTCATCTTTGATTAATGTTATGAGCTTCATACGGAAAAAATTGAAATGAAACGTTCCCACATTAGATGCATTTCCATGTTACTTGAATGAAACCCTAGATGTTAGTGTGTTCATGAAAAACTTGTTTCATCAAATTCCACATTGGACTTGTCGGCTTGAACCCTAATTGCAGTAACCTATTCATTGACAAACCACCATCAACAGCATCCGATTACTCTGCCCTGGCGAGGGTTTGGCTGCTTCGTATCCGCTGCTTACACTGACCACGACGTTGCAGCAATATCAGACGAATACAATGAAAGGCGAAGGTGTGTGTTGTTTACCAATGTCCATGATGACGTTTGTTCTAATTTGTTTCACTGGAATTCCACATTGTTGTTGTATGGGCTGACATTTTGTTCACTGAAATAGCTTAGCTGGTGTTACCAGTACTTGTGAGCTACAAAATTGTATTGGCAAATGACCAGATTCTTAATGTCATTGACACTCCTGGTAAATCTATATCAATTAGCAATGTAAGCATTTTTTCTTCTGTTAATGAGTTGTTTGGTTCAAACTGCCAACTTAACAAAAAATGATAGGATTATTTGATTTTTCTGCGGAGTCTAAATTTATTGGAAAAGAAATTGTCAAATTCATCAATATATGGCCAAGGATAGCTCATGCAGTTATTGTAGTTTTCTCAGTCAGGTTCTGTTTTTCGAAAGAAGAAGTTACCCTTCATAGCTTGCAGACTTTGTTTGGGAAAAAAAATTATGACTACATGATTGTAGTCTTTACTGGTGGCGATGAACTCGAAAAAAATGATGAAACATTGGAAGATTACTTAATATTACATATGTTTTGTTGATACATTTTTTGATGGTTGATACTAAAAATGTTCGGTGAATTTTACAAAATGTGACGTTAGTTTAGTGATGCATAATTTTGTTGGTTCATATTTTTTGGGTGGTTAATACATAACGTTGTTTTGTCAACATTGTCATGAACACTGTTACGTGGACATTTCGTGGATATCATTGAATGGAAAATGTTAAATTGCACACCACACTTGTTAATTACTAAACTATGTCCGAGCAGGGAATGACGCGGATGTTGGTAATCGATCATCATGTAAAAGTGTCACGTCGTATGTGTTACCAAACCGGCCCTCAACAACAATACTATACATCAGTAAAAAGAAATCACACCAAATTCCACAAAATGGTAAATATGTAAAATATTACCCTCAACAACACTACTATACGTCAATAAAAAGAAATCACACCAAATCCCACAAAAGGATAAATATGTAAACTCCATACATGTCAAATCAAAGGAAATAATCTTTGCTAATTAAATAGGACCAAATGGTACATAAGAAAAAATAAAAGACAAAATGGATTAACATTTTCCAAATTGAGATTTATTGGTAATTTTTCCTTTTTTGTTTAAATTTTTAGATACATCTAACATAAATACATTTAAAAAGTATAATATTTGTGAAAAAAATCTTTAAAAAATTCAGTAAATATCAAAAATACAAAAAAAAAAAATGAAAATTGAGTACATTTTTCATATTTTTGTGTATTTATTAATTTTTAAAAAAAAAAAAAAAATTCATAAAAATGATGTGGCTATTATTGTAAATAAATACATCTTCAATTGTGTTTTATTTTGAAGTGAATGATTCATATTGAGCCATATTATTATGTACGAGTTTTATTTATTTATATAGCATTACTCAAAAACTAAAAACAAAAAAAAGTTGTTTCGTAATTTTTTTTGTAAACAGAAAATAAGAAACTTATAATGTTATCAAAACCTAGTACTGTATATACTCAAGTTGTATCTTAATCTATGCCTTTACTTGAAATGAAGTAAGCAACAAAGAACAGTAAGCTCGAACATCGAAATTGACAGCTTCAAAGTGTTCAAAGATGATAATTGTTTATTTAATACTGAGGTTAATTAATGGCTGGTTCTGTTTAGATGTCCAAAGCGAAAAAAAATGGGGAGGAACACAAGAAGAAAGCAAGTTGTGCACAGAGAGGCTTTCTTGAATTTAATAAATTGTACATAAAACTAATCAATCACTTGATTGGGTTTTGAGCTCTTGCAATTAAATTAATCGAGCCCTTTTTTCACCATCATTTATATACTACTTAATATTTATTACCTGTTTGGTTTTTATTTTGCGGCTAAAAAAATACAAAAAGATAAAATAAGTTATATAAGTCAATAAGACCAAATGTCGCATCAAAATCATAATCATTATATATATTTTTTTCCACAAAAGCCAAAAAAACCTAAAAACAAAAACCAAAAAAAAGCAAGTTAAAAAAGTCCCAATACAAAAAAATTGACTACCGTAACCAATGCCAAACAAAACTTCAAGATGGAGTTGTGGGTTTCTTTTCTTTTTTTTCTCTCTTTTTTTTAAAAAAAAATTAATTTATTTATGGTTTTTATTTGTTTTATTAGTTATTTATTTATTATTTAGGTAAGTTATGATGTGAGTTGTATATGTGATAGACATGTGAATTTTATTGATTTGAAGTATAATGGTGGGAGATATTTTTAAATTTTATTGACTTTAAACATTTTTTAAAATTTAAAATTGAATATTGAGTGGCAAAAGAAAGATTTTAACTGAATAAATAGAAATCAAAATTATTAATTTTATCTATTTGTATATTTGAATTTGAATTTGATTTTTTTTTGGTTATGTTATAATATAATATATAAGATATATAATAAGATATAGATAGATACTTACAACTCTCATGAAAAATATTATTTGATTTTTTTTGAAAGAGAGAAGAGAGACAAGTTTTAATATTTTCTTTTGGAAATCGGTGAGAGAGATTAGGATGAAAATATTATGAAATATTTTTATTATTTTTCCATTTGAAATTCATAAATTAAGGGATAATTATTATTTCTAAAACAAATAAATAAATAAATATATTAATCAATCAGCCAATAGTTTTTATAAAATTTATTTTGTAAATTAAAAAATCAATAATTTTATAATGAGAATTTGAAACGCTTAAAATGCTTTTCAATAAAAAATCTATTTTCCTTATATAATAGATAGGTGGATAGGTTATTCTAATTTTATTTTTATGTTTTTTATTTTTTATTTGTTACAACAATTCTTAAAATGAGATTGGAAATTGAGCACATGAATAGAGTACCTAACGGCAAATTCTTCGGAAACAAAACGTGTTGTGCACTCAATCCCCAAGTATATAGCAACAGCAAACCCTAGTAGTATCATCATCAGAAAAAATTCATAAAGCTTAAAAAAAGAAGATAGTTTTATGGGGAAAATGCAAACCCTAAGTAAGAAACAGAGGCTAAGAAGAAGAAACAAAAGAAGGAAGAGAAAAGAAAACAGAGCAAAATCACAAGTAGTGAACGATTTACCACAAGAAATCGTTGTGGACATTCTCTCAAGATTACCACTCAAATCGGTGGTTCGATCCATGTGCGTTTGCAAGGGATGGCGTTCTTCGATGGAAGGTTATACGAAAAGCCTTACACGACAAAAAGTTGTGGCTCTAACTCACTCGAAAACTGGGCTGTCTTTTCAATCCATCGACCAACAAGGCTATATCAAAAGCGTTCGTAAACCATGGAAAAAGATTGGATCTAATAGTAGTATTCGCATCGATGGTTCGTGTAATGGGTTGTTACTTCTAGAGATCGACGAGGATTTGTTATTGTGGAATCCGCTCACCGGGTATTCGAAGAAAGTTCTAGCATACGAGCCCTTGCGTGATGAGGAATATCGTGTTGTTTCTGGGCTATGCTTTGATTCCTCGAGTAATGAGTACAAGGTGGTAATGGCACTTTCTCATAGCAGTCCTGATTATGGTGGTGAATTCGTAGTAGTTGGTAGTTTTCGAAACAAAACTTGGACTAGAGTTTCCTTCTCATTCTGTGCTTCTGATGTGCATTCAGGGCCTGTTTTGAATGAAAATCTGCATTGGTTTTCCTCTAAGAATCATAGCTTCCTTTCATCCCACCAGATCGTGTTCTTTGATCCGTTGATTGATGAATTCAGGGAGGTACCAATGCCAGAGCCCAAGAATGGAGATGGAGATATTTTACTTGGTATAGGAGTTCTTGATGGATGCCTTTGTATGGCTCGTTTCGACCATCCTGGAAATTTTGAAGGTAATGTGGAGGTGCTGGTAATGAAGGAATATGGTATGCAAAATTCTTGGGCTATTATGTTCAGCATATCAAATTCGACTGGATTATTTCATTCTTATGATCGGATAGAGCCATTGTGTTCTACAAAGAATGATGAAGTTTTAGTGAATATTTTCTTAAGGGGTAAGAGGAGGCATAATATATGGGCATGCAATTCTAATGACAACTCGCATAGGGAAATTCCATTTTCTGTCAATCATCATTGCTTAATTGATGCAGTTATGTATGAGGAAAGTTTGGAAACACCGCCTAACTACAGTTGGGAAGATGATGAGTTGAGAGGGGAAGCAACATATGATGAAATTTTTCTTTGCCGCTCTCCTCGAAAATTGAAAAAGGTAATGGATTGCTGGGTATACGTGGATTTTCAACAATATGAACATTCAGAATCGAAAAAGTTGGAAGTAGAAGTAGAGTTGGAAGACTTGGATTCTTATTTAGAACCGCAAGAGCTGTTAACGGATCCATGGTTAGAGGGGTTAGAGTATCCACGGTTGGTTAAGGGATCAATTTTTTTTAACGAATAATTTTTGCAGCAATTGCTGATATGTTTTTTTATGTAATTAAGGTATGTCTGTGAGGACTATATTATATGCTAGAGAATAACAAGTGATCAAATAGGTGGAAATTTTTTTTATTGGGCTGTTGAGGTCAATGCCCTCAAAATAAGTTTTACTTTTTATCACAGATCTAATAAAGGTGTTTTTGATGTTGAGAATTGATTGAGGCAGAAATGTACAGCATTGAGACTGATAATTGAGATTTCTTGACTCTCTTTTTGATGCAAGCTTTTACAGTTTACTAATATTTGATGGGAATCATGTTGGACGCATTTGAAGTACAAAACGATAAAAAACAATGGAACTTCAACTGAAAATTCATTCTTGTACGTGCGGAGGGTCATTCCCACACATGCGGTCTTTCATCCTAAAGTCAAAACATTCTAAAAAATCCGCACGTGCAATGACATTTCCTGAATGTGCGGATCGACCTTGGTTTGCGTGCATAATTGACTAAAGCAAAAATGCTACAAACTCAAAAAATTATTTACAAAAATGAATAAATAATTTATATTTAGTGTGGGTGTGTCTTGCATTAAAGTTGGTGTCTTATTTTGAATGTACTCACATAATTAGAATAATTTTGTGTTGCGAGATATGTCTAGAATTTTTTTTAAATTTTTTTTATTTGGGTTTGTTTAGGTTAATTTTATCTTTAACTTGAATTTAATTTGAAATATTTGTAATGTTCCCCTTTTACTATAGGAATAGTTGGTAATCTCGAAGGATTAAGGTGTTAGTAGTCTTGAGGTCTCAATATGCACTGTTGTGATATTAGAATCTTATGTGCTCTGCAACAGTGATAATAGAATTTAACTAAATGAGTTTTAACCTTTTATCACAGATCTAATGTAAAGTTTTTTTGAAGAAGTATGAGCGAATATTTTTTTAAGGGTAAGAGGAGGCATAATATATGGTCGTGCAATTTCAATGACAATTCGCATAGGTAAATTCCATTTGTATCATCATTGCTTAATCGATGTAGTTATATATGAGAAAAGTTTGGTTATATCACCTGACTACTATTGAGAAGATGATGAGTTGAGAGGGAAAGCAACGTATGAGGAAATTTTTCTTTGGCACTCTCCTCAAAAATTGGAAAGGATAAAGGATTATTGGAATTATGTGAATTTTTAAAAGTAAGAACATTCTAACTTAAACAACAATGCTAGAGGGCCACAATTTTTGTGGCCACAATAGCTCAAAACTGCCAAAACGACGTCGTTTTGACATGTTTTGCACCCAAAACGACGTCGTTTTGACAGTTTTGAGCCATTGTGGCCACAAAAATTGTGGCCTTCAAACATTTGCCATAATAAATATACTTCTTAAAGTTTCTTTAAAATATAATTTTTTTCTGTATTTTTAAAAGGAAATTTTTCTTTGGCACTCTCCTCAAAAATTGGAAAGGATAAAGGATTATTGGAATTATGTGAATTTTTAAAAGTAAGAACATTCTAACTTAAAACAACAATGCTAGAGGGCTACAATTTTTGTGGCCACAATGGCTCAAAACTGCCAAAACGATGTCGTTTTGGCCTGTTTTGCACCCAAAACGACGTCGTTTTGACAGTTTTAAACCATTGTGGCCCTCAAACATTTTCCAACTTAAAAAAGTTAAAAAGTTGGAAGTAGAAGAAGAGTTGGAAGAGTTGGATTCTTATTTGGAACCATCACTGTTGTTATAGGATCTATGGTTTTGAATGTACTCACATAATTAGAATAATTTTCGTGGTAATTGCTGATATTTTTTTTTTATGTGAGATATGTGTCTGAGAGTTATGCTAGAGAATAACAAGTGATCAAATGGTTGGAATTTTTTTTTCCATTGAGTTGTTGAGGTCAATACCCTTTAAATGCGTTTAACTTTTTATTATTGAGCTAACATATATATATATATATTTAAAATAAATGACTAAAGTAACATGGTTACAAACTCAAAAAAAATTATTTAAAAAAATTAATTAATGATTTACATCTATTGTTGTGACCGTGGTTCACATCAATGGTTATATGGTTCATAATTTTGTTTTTGATAAGCTCTCACATATTAAAGTTTGGGTATGTTCTTTGACTACCACATTATCAAAAAGGGAAATAACAATTAACCCTATTTAATCAAAATGACTCCTTAGATATTTTCTTATTCAAACAACAAGCTTCTCCACCTGCTTATTATCCATAGCCACCTCCAAGGCACCACCACCACCACCACCACCACCCTTATACCTATACCACCTAGCACACACCAAAAAGTATCCAAAATTGACAACACCCAAACCCGAAATCATGTAATAAAAGTATCAACAATACTACGTAACTCAAATTTTGTGGCTCAAAAGTGGCTCAAATGGCCAAAACGACGTCGTTTTGAATACAGAACAACATAAAAATGGCCAAAACGACGTCGTTTTGACCATTTGAGCCACAAAATTTGAGCTACGAGACATTTTCCTAAAAGTAGTCCAACTTCCCCTCATTAAGATCTTGCGGCAACCAATCTCCTCCAGACTCCTTAGCAGTAACATGGTGAACTACAGTGACTGAAAACCCGCTCAGATAACTTGAACACACCATTCCACAGAAGAAGAAAGACACGGCAATATTCTCGGGAAACTGCCTGCAGTAAAACTCAATTTGTCCTATGGAATAAAACCCCTCAGACAACCCAGCAAGCACAAGTTGAGGAACAAGCCACAGAGCAGACATTGATGAAACAGAGCTTCCTTTTATCGCATTACTCTTTCTTCTCTCTTCGATTAGGCCTGAAACGAGCATGGTTAGTGTTAGGATCAAACACACCCAGAGAATTATCTCACACACACAGAGAACACAATATTTACGTGGTTCGGCCCAATGCCTACATCCACGGACAGAAATGAGAATTATCACTAAAATGGAGCAAAAATACAAATACAGAGGACTTCTCTCTTCGATTAGGCCTGAAACGAGCATGGTTAGGACAGAGAAGAGAATTCCGGTACCTATTCGCTGAAGAAGAGTGATTCCTCCTCCTCTGCGGGTGAGAGAAGGGATGATGATTCGATCATAGATTGGGATCCAAATTGTGATTGTGAGCATTGACACGAGGACATAGGAGGCGGCGGGGACTTGGAAGTGGAGGTGGGGGGTGAGGTGGCGGTCGGATTGGAGGGCTTGGAAGATGGCATAGGTGTTTTGTTGGACGATGGCAACGTGGAAGATGATGGCGGAGGCCCAGATGGGGAGGACTCTGATGAGGCATTTGGCTTCCTCTACTTGTTGGGTGCTGCAGAGTCTCCATGGGTTGGTTGGTGATCCGTCTGAGTTTATTTTTTTTTTTTTGGGTGAATAAATCCGTCTGAGTTGATTTGGTCTTCTGTGGTTATGGTTGCTGCTTTGTCTAGGATCCTATATGCACAGTGATCATAGTTTCAAGTTTTTTATCACTTCTTTGTGTTTTTGTGTTTTAAACTTGCAGAAATGATACTTTTCTCTAACTTGAAAGTTTTAAAAGGGTACTAATGCTGTAAAAAAGAAAAAAAAAAATTATGATATTGGATATGATATTTTGTTTGGATTTGTTTTCTTTTTTATTTTGTAAAAAAATTGTCTTTTGGTGAAAAAAATCAAAAAAAACCTAACACACAAACTTCCCAAACACCACCTTGGTGATAGACCCTTTACTGTCTAATTTGTCTATTAAAATGACAAGAATTATATAAGTACTTTCAAAATCTCCTAATATTTTAAAACTTGTTTCTTTTAGTATACTACTATCATATCTATCAGCTCTCCTGTTAAGCCATACTTACAGTGTATTTCAGAATAAAATTTTGTTTTGAATCAGAATAAAATTTTACTTTTATATCGTTAAACAAATAATATATTTTTAATCAGAATACAATTTGCCATCATCACAGTGTATTTCAGAGTAAAATTTAAACTTTACTCTGATTCAGAGTAAAATTTTACTCTTAAAGTACAATTTCACTTTGAATCATAGTAAAGTTGACTATGATTCAAAATAAAATTTTATATCGTTAGGCAAATCAACATATTTTTAATTAAAGTAAAATTTTACTGATACAAAAAATAAAATACATACTAAATGACCGATCCAGAATCAAATTTTACACTTAAACCTATTAACAAATAAAAAAAAAATCCAATTGAAAACAACAATCAATCTGTTCAAGTTTCTTCTTTTCTTTCTTCAAACTAGGGGTGTTCGCGGATCGGTTTTGTGCGGTTTGCGGTTCGGTTTTGACCCGCCCGCATCTATGCGGTTTGGGAAAAAGTCAACCCGCAACCGTCCACAGTGCGGTTTGCGGTTTGTGCAGATAGGGTTTGCAAATGTGCGGGCGGTTTGCGGTTTACACTTTTTTTCTTTAAAAATTAATTTTCGAGTTTTTTTTTCCCAGCGAATTTAGGCATCAAATTCATTTTATATATTTGTGATAACAATTTTTTGATGAGTTTACAAATAAAGGTTGAATATCAATGCATTAAATGAAAGTACCCAAAACAAAGAGACCCTACACTAGCATTTTTGCCATGAAAAAAATGTATATCAATGCATTAAAGGTTGTACTCAATTAGAATTGCCAGTTCAGTACTCAATAATCAAACTATAACTTCCATCGACCATTAGAAGGAAAATTTTATTAGGAAAAAGTGGATGAATCACCAATGAAAATCATATAAGAAACCAAGTTTAGGACTTGATAATTCTACGGCATTAAGAAAGTTGAGAAATACTTAAAAATAAGGATCTTATAGTGTCATAGATAATATAATGGTACTCCTGTAAAAGTTACAAAGTTGGTATATAAAAAGTAAAAATAATAATAATAATAATAATAATAATAATAATAATTAAAGTGCGGGCGGTTTTTGCGGGTTACGGGTTTAAACCGCGACCCGCCCGCAACCCGCAAATTTGTCATATTTCAAACCGCATCCGCCCGCATCATGTTTGCGAAACCGCCCATTTATATGCGGGTTGGGCAGATTGGGCGGTTTGAGCGGTTCGGATAAACCGTTGCCCACCCCTAAGC